TCCAGTGGCACAGTCCTGAGAGGGGTTCAGCTGCAGGCCAAGTTTAGCCACAGCCTGTGACCCTCCAGGGTCACCTGATAAGATTCAGCAAGCAATCCACAGACACTGTTCTTATAGTTGCCTCAAGAGGCCACGCCAGAAACCATGGTCAGCTGCCACCAGTGTGAGTCTAGGCACTGCTCAGCAAGGGGCATCTGACTCACTGAGGATATACTTGGATGTGGCTTGGGTGGGGCCACAATAGAAGGAGGCAGAGTTTCAGAGAATCCTCTGGGCAGAGAGACCTCTTGTTATCCAATTTGATGACCTCTCAGCTATGGCAATACTGCGTCAGCACACTGGAAGGGCAGAGGGCTCAACAGAGGAACAGTGGATACTACTGGTACTTCTGTCTGGGATCCTAGCCTCTGGCCCTCACTCCAACAACTCAGTGTTCCCCTCTAAGTTCCTGGTGCCCTCCACACAGCTGAACTGGCGCTGGTGCTCAGAGCAAGCAGGTCCATCACCCCAAAAGTCCGCTCGCGGGGACGGCCCCTTTAAGAGGCATCTGTAGATACCGACTGCCACTGCTATGGCCTCTGTCTCCCTCAGCCGCTCGGGACCGGGCAGCCTCATGTCCTTGTCCCATTCTACCTCCCGTTGCAGGGTGAGTTCTGATTTCTCCAGTTGTAGTGCTTGTTCATCTAGACTCCAGGCAAGTCTGCTTGCTGTTTGCTCCATGTCTCTGTCACAACTTTGATTTGGTCGTAAGAGGGATAAACAGAGCCTCTATTATCTATGCTATTTTTTTTCCTCCTCTCTAGATTTATCTAGTTTTATTACAGTGTTGAATAGTGATGATATTAAGGTCATCCTTGTGTTGTTTTTGACTTTGAAGATAATGCTGCTGGTGTCTTTCCACTTAATACATAGGTCTCTGTAGGTCTCTTGTAGACTAATGAAGTTCAGAAGAGTCTCTGTCTCTTGTGTGAGAGGTTTTGTTTGTTTTAAAATCAGAAGTGGAATTAGATTTTATCAGATGATTTTTTGGCATCTTTGATGTACATAGTTTTTCTCTGTTAATTTGTTAATGATGATTTACATTAACAGAATTACTGATTTTGAATTTATATTTCTTTTTTAGAATTATCTATACTTGACCATGGCATTTAACAATAGCTTATCTAATTTATTTGATTACTAGTAATCTCTAATGTTTGGTGTTTGTATACTGCTAACTTCTGGCTTTGTTTTATTCCTTTTTCTTAATGTTCTTTGTACAACATCTCAAGTTGAAAGTTCTGTTCATTTATTTTGTCTGTCTTCCCTTTTGATAAAGGGTTTTTTTTAATTAACATGAAGTAAAATTGGCTTTGTTGGTATACACATGTTTAGCTTCTTGTAACCACCACCATCACCATCACCATCACCATCACCATCACCATCACCATCACCTCAATGAGGATACAGAACCACCCCTTCCCACCCAACTCCCTTATGTTATTCATTAGTAGTCATGCCTTTTCTCTACCCTTAGCCCCTGGCAACCACTGATTTGTTCTCCATCACTGTGGTTTTGCCTTTGCCAGAATGTCATATAAATGGAATTATACAGTAAGTAATATTTTGAGACTGGCATCTTTTTCTTAGCATAATGCCTTTAAAATTCATCCATATCACTGCGTATCAATAAATTATTCTTTTTTATTGCTGAGTAATATTCCATTGTATAGATATGCTGCAGTATTTTTATCCATTCACCCATTGAAGGACATTTTGGTTGTTTACAGCTTTGGGTGATTATGAATTGAGCTGCTGTGAACATTTGTGTACATCCTTTTATATGAACATGATTTTTCATTTCTCTAGAGTAAATCCTACAAATGGGAATCCTGTACAATACTGGCAGTGGATGCTTTAACTTTATAAGTTTTATAGTTTTCAGTATACAAGTCTTACATTTCCTTGTTTAAAGTTATTCCTACCTACTTTATTCTTCTTGATGCTATTGTAAGTGGAATTGTTTTCTTAATTTCCTTTAGAGATTGTTCATTGCTAGTGTATAGAAATACAACTGATTTTTATATGTCGATCTCAGAGTTCCTATTAACATAGATTTATGGTTATTGTTTTATGCCTTAGAATTTTAAATCATATAGAAAACAAAAAGAAGACTTAGGAACCACAAATATCACAATACTGGCTTTTATAATTACCTCTGTAGATACTTTTCCTGGTGTTTTTTTATTTCTTTATACAGCTTCAAGTTACTCTCTAATGTCCTTTTATTTCAGCCTGGACTCTAGCATTTCTTAAAGGGCAGGTTTACTAATGACAAACTCCCCCAGCCTTTGTTTATTTGAGAATGTCTTAATTACCTTCATTTTCGAAGGCTCTTTTTAGCCAGGTATATTATTCTTTGTTGATAGTTTTTTCTTTCAGCACTTTAAATATATCATCCCATTGCCTTCTGACCTCCTTTGTTTCTGATGAGAAGGTCATTGTTAATCTTATCATGGATGTTTGGTAGATGAAAGTTGCTTCTGTTTTGCTGCTTTCAAGATTCTCTCATTTTTGTCTGTTGACAGTTTGAATATATGACAGTTTGGTGTTTGTATACTGCTAACTTCTGGCTTTGTTTTATTCCTTTTTCTTAATGTTCTCAGTGTGGATCTTTGAGTTTATCCTACTTGGAATTTGTCAATCTTCTTAGATGTATATTTTTATGTATTTCATAAAATTTGGAAAGTTTTCATCCATTATACTTCATATAGTCTTTCTGTCTCTTTCTTTCTCTCCTCTCCTGTGGGACTTCCATATGAATATATTGGTAAGCTTGATAGTTTTCCATAGATCTCTTTGCCTCTGTTCATTTTTCTTCTTTCTTATTTTCTTTTCTCATCAGACTGGATGATTTGAATTGAGCCTTTTTCACTTCGCTGATACTTTCTTCTGCCTGCTCAAAATCTGCTCTAGTGAATTTTTTATTCAAGCCATTGTACTTTTCAGCTCCAAAATTTCTATTTAGTTCCTTTATATGTTTTCTATTTTTTGATAGAAAATTGATGTTCTCTTTTCTGTTGAGACGTGGTTCTCTTTGATCACATTTAAGACAGTTAAATTATAGCCTTTATATAGTAAGTCCAATTAATGTCTGCCTCTTGGACAGTTTTATCAATTTCTTTTTTTCCTGTAAATAAAATATACTTTTCTGTTTCATATCATGACTCATAATTTTTTGTTTAAACCTGGACATTTTGAATTTTATACTGAGGTAACTTTGGAAGTTATATTTTTCTTCCTTCCCAGAGTTTGCTGTTGTCGCTTATTGTGAGCTACAGTTATCTATTTATTGAGTGACTTGGCAAACAATTTTTTGAAAAGACTGTATTCCTTGATATTTCCTTAAATGCCTAAATTAAACAATCTTTTTTTTCTTTGTTAAGCATTCCTCTTGTTGTTGTAAGTATTTGATTGGATTTCAGAGTCTTAGAAATGTTGATTCTTACAGTTTTTGCCAGCTTAATGGTTGCTTCAGTGGAGAGATAGATTCTTGGAGCTCTCAACTTCACCATGTTGGGGCATCACACCTTCTACCTTTATATTTTTAATATGCATATTTGAACTTGTATTTTCTTTAAATGTCTAGAGTTAATTATCATCTACATCTTTTCCTCTTTAAAAAAAGACTCAAACCTTAGAATGCAATTCCTTTTGCATGTTACTCATACATATTATCTCTCAATCCTCACAATTTTGCAAGGCAGGTGTTATCTATTATTTCAATTTTATGGATGAAGATGGTAAGACTTAGAGAAGTTCTCTTAGGCTACAAAGCTAGTGGGTCACTCCAGGATTTCAAAATAATTCTCTGATACTGAGACTCAAGGTCTTTCTACCATACCATACTTCTTTCTTTGAGGTAGAAAAACCACTCAAACTCAACAAAATAACATTGACAGCCATTGGGGCTAGTAGAGACTGTACCTTTCTCAAACAACTGTTACCAGTAGTCAATGACCCCTCTTTAAAAAATTACTTAGTAAGTAAGGAGGCAGGGGTTTTACTTCTTTCTTTTCTCAAGGAAGAAGGCCAGAAAAATTTACTCATTTTCCTACAAAGAGGCCCTTATGGAAGGACATGGGATATTGGATTCCTCTGATGAAGTAGAATTCTAGAAAAATTTGAAGCTGGTCATTAGGAAGAAGTTTTTTCATTCTCACTTTGCTTTTCTTTCAGGTTTAACAGCAGCAGCAGAATTTGACCTCATCAGTAGGACCTTTCTAGACCATCTTCCCATTAAATCTTATAGGTGTTGCATGTGGATTGTAAGGAGAGTGATAAAACTGAATGTTTGCATGTATTTGTATAGTATGAGATACTTGTATATGTGTGTTTTGTCATTCAGAACATTCAGTTCCAATAATCTTGTTCCTAATTCAGCCCAAGTAGTATTTTTGTTCCCTTTTTGTGAATGATGTTTGTACCATTCTTTTTCCATTAATTCAGCAAACACTGAGTGCCTACTTTGCATTACCTTAGGCTCCCTTAGTTTGAAATCAAACAATACATATCCCGGCCCTCCTGGTAAATTGGGGGTGACAGATTTATGAATCGTCTCTTAAGTACTATATAACAAGTAACTCCAGTAGCGGTCTGCACAGGATACTATGGAGAGTTGAGGAGGCATCTGAATCAGATTACAAGAATGAGGGAGGCTTCTTTAGAAAGTGAATCTAGAGCTGAATTTTGTGGGGTCAGTAAAGTAACTCATGAAGTTACTGAATGGATATTGGGTGAGTGAATCAGAATTAGATGATGCTAGGAGGACATTTGCAGCAAGAATACAAAGGTAGATAGACGTGAAAAGTATGTGGCGCATTCAAGGACTCCTGCAGTTGAGTATAGATTAAATAAAAGGTCCACTTGTAGGGGAGTAGGAGGGGCTGAGTTAAGTATCATTTTATCTTCCCCTTTCTGAATGAGGTCTCAGTTGACCTTACTTTTCTCTCTCACTGCAGTTTACCCATCCTTGGAGTCCGACGATGATGACCCTGCTTTGAAATCTCGAACCAAGAAAAAGAAGAATTCAGATGATGCTCCATGGAGTCCTAAAGGTAATGTAGTATTCTGTCCTTAAACTCTATGGGAGTGGTTGGGGGAAAAAAATAGGCTGAGATTAGGTGGAGTATTTAATACAGGAAGATATAATTCAGTTACTCATTTGTTTTCATCAGCAAACACTTGTTGAGTGCCCACTGTGTGCCAGGTATTAGGTGCTAGGGTGAAAATGATCATTGAGACACAGAATTCATGCACTCAGTTCAGCAAAGCCAGGAATAATGGAACATGTTGCTCCTGATATTATATGACTTGAGATGAAAAGAGGAAGACCTTGAACAGAGTTTAACAAGTAGTCTAAGACTTCTGAAAACATTCTGCTACCATCATCCTAGCTCTTTGGTAATATTAATATCAAAGGAGGGAAATTCTGCTGACTATTGAGCTCTGCAAGGCCCAAGACTCCTTAGATTGTCAACTGTACTGGCTGAAAGGCTATCACTGAGAAAAGAAAAAAGAATGATCATTCAGTTGAACGTGGAATTTAGAGAATAATAAATTTATTCATCTCTTTGGGTAGTTTTCACATTGGAGGGTGTTATTGGTTAGCTTTTGCTGCTTATCCAACTACCCCAAACTTAGCGGCTTACAATAACAGCAGTTGATCATCTCTCATGATTCTCTAGGTTGACTGAACTACTATTTCAGTCTAAACCAGCTTGTCTGGGGCTGTTTGTTCTGAAAAGATCTCCCTCAGATGTCCTAATTTGGGCTCACGGGGGCCTCTCTCCATGTGAGGCCACCAGGAGGCTCTCTCATCTACCAGGAGGCCAGCCCAAGCTTTTTCACAAGGGTAGCAAGCAGAAGGGTGTCCAGCAGTAAGAGAGGACAAGCCGCAATGTGTAAGCACTTCTCAAGCCTCTGCTTATGTTATGTTTTCCATTGTCCCATTGGCCAAAGCAATTTACATGACCAAGCCTTGATTCCATGGGTGGAGAAATAGATTCCATCTCCTGAAAGTGAGAGTTGTAAAATCTTATGCATAGAAGGAGATGTGAGGAAATTGAGAGCCATTACTGCAGCAGTCTGCCACAGAGGGTGCTGGCATCTCAGTACCTGTGTCTCCCCAGAAAATAAAGGGCCTGCTATCCCTACCCAACCTTATTTGGCCTTTTTGGTATTTGTTTGGGGTTGGGGGCGTAAAGTGGCAGGGCAGTCCTGGAAAGTGTTCTCTTACTGATTTAATCAGCAAATTTTTTTGGAAGAGGTTTGTTTCTTCAGGCGTGTTTTCTGATTTTATTTTCCCCGATAGTTTCTGGTTTATAAGCATAATAGAAAATTTGGAAAATACAGAAAATAGAGGAAAGTATAAAGAAGAAACCATCCATGATTCTGCCACCCAGAAGCAACCACTGTTGTTAATGTGTTGACATATTTCCTACTTGTCTTTTTCTCTTATGCATTTTTCTTTTTATGGTTGAAATCACATTATGTATACAATCATATATCCTACTTTAAAATTATTTTGCCCTTTATTCAAAATAATATGTATATCTGGTAGCAAATCAAATAGTATAGAAGAGTTTAGGATGAAATGCAATGGTCTTCTGCCTCAGCTTTTTCTACCTACAATGTCTTGCCTGAGAGGCAAGTTTTTATTTTTCTGGTAGTTAACCTCTAAAACTCAATATAATAGGGTTTATAACACTATTTATTTCTTGATTTATTAACTTAATTTCTGTTTCTCCTTCCATCAGCTTCTGTCACTTTCTTTTGATCACCCATTTTCTAAGATATGGACATTAGTGCTGCTAATTTTTCTTCCTCTAACCTTCTATGAGGCACACTTTTTCTTTTACATTGTCAAGGCTGTTAACATTTACGTTGTCTTGTGATTAATACTCTACATCAACTATAAGTTGACTGTAAAAGTTGAAAACTGATAAATATATCTGGCTTTTAAAGTTAACAAGATAAATATATCTCTTTGCCGTTGTTTATAAATAATATTTTAGTGGTTACAAAATATTCTACTTTATGGATATACCTAATTTGCCTAACTTCTCCTTTGATGTGGGGCATTTCGCCTAGTCCCAGTCCTGGAAAGTGTTTCACACTTAGTAATAACATTTGGGGTGAACATCTTTGTATGTGTTTGTATCTCTGATTATTTACTTAGGATGGATATCCATGAAACTCTAGAAGGGCCAAAGTATATGACACTATTTACCTTGATATATAGGTATGCAGTGAAAAGTCTTTCTCCAACCCTTGTTCCACAGCCTTCCAACTTCCCACCTAGCATCAGCCACTGTTATCAGTTTCATGTTTATTCTTTCAGAGGTAGCTTATACATGTGCAAATAAATACATATATATTTTTTCTTTTTCACTCTTCTTTTACTCAATTGGAAGCATACTTTATACACTATTATGTATGTTACTTTTCCCACTTAACAGCTACATCTTAGACATTGTTTACACTCCCATAAGCTAAATGAGTA